GATTTATCAGATTCATCTAGTTGAACATTATGGTTCTGTATTTTATTTGTTGGGGGTGCAAAATTGGTAATGCCCTTTTGCCTGGTTCAATTCCCCCCTCCGCCCTAAAAAAACCTTCTATTTATCTTTTATTTCTGTTTATCATCTCCTATTTTGTTTTCAATTTCTCGCGGTAGATTACTTAAATGCTTCTTTTATTTTATTTTTTGCTATGTAGACTTCTAATGCTAATTTCTTGTTTGTATTCAATTCGGGTTTGATGCTTGTGAGTCTATATATAGAATCATGTTATGTTATCGTTGATCAGTTTTGCATGATAGCTGATTTCGTATTATGTAAATAGTATTTGCATTGGATCGTGCAAATGCTGAGGATGCTGCACTTCCGATCCCAAAGATTTTTCATCTTCATGAGGAAAAAGAGGATAAACATAGAAGTTTGGCAGTCAGTGCTAACGATGTAATGAATGATTCCTTCAAACCTGGGAGCCAACTGGAACTCATAGATGGAAAAGGTAATTTAGCATTCAAATTTTCAAGTGCTTGGAGCTTAATCTTTAACAATGTGCCATAAGCTGGAAAATCAATGCTGTATACACAGTTCAATAATAGAAAACAAATTGAAACAAAGAACTGGATGGAAGCAACATGAATCCTTGTTTTTTTCCAATGTTAGTGTGCCACTATTGACTTTTTTGTTGTTCTGGTCTATGCAGATGACTCGATGAAATTAGAAGCAGGTTCAAAAGCACCTTGCATTGAGGACCAGTTAACATCATTAGGAATACTTGATACATGTAGCTATCCGCTTGATTCTATACTATTTGATGGTATTAATCTTGAAGCTAATTTGCCACCAAAGAAGGTTCGTATTCAGTTGATAAAGAAGCAAATTATGTTTTATCATTGCAAATATCTCTCGATTTTATTTTTAATTAAGATTTAATTTGTTTCATTTAGCTAATTTTTGTATTAAATTATCAGATGAGAGCAGCTATTTCTTCTATGGAGCCTGGTGATGCTCATAAGTTGCTTGAAAACTTGATGAAACTGTGGCAATCAAGGTCTGGTTAAGTCTTTGTTGCTTGCATTCTCTACCTTCTAACATTTTATATACCGATAACCTATGCTACTCGGACCTTTGATGTGAGTGTTGGATACCCATATGTTTCCATACGGGTATATTCAATTTTATCTAAGTTCCTCTTTGTATTTGGAGGATCATTAGAGAGTTATATCCCCATACCCGTGTTGGTATATGCATTGGTCATGGATGTTGGAAAACAAGTACTTCAAGAAAAATGAAGAGTTAGAGCAACACCGCTGGTAAATAATTAAAATCAGTTAAAACTGGGTTAATAGGTTATCATCCTTTGATTTCTTCATTTTTCTTGAAGAATTCGTGTCCGACACATATTCTGACCTGGTTATGAAAAGGATCTTCAAATACATGGAAAAACATTATTAAAAAGAAGAAAAAAGCCAAAACATACTTGTTTTGGATACGTGCACGTGTCTAACACTCGCTCGAGTTCAGATAAAATAACTATCCTCTAAGGATCTTCAAATACTTGGAATGTATGTATGTGTTTTTGTGTATATATAATATATAAGCTGAACCTACCCATGTTGGATACATACACGTATCTGACATACACTCTATTTCGAGTAAAATAGCTATCTTCCACTGCGAGATGAATTTTATATTAGTAAAATTCCAGTCTATCAATATGATTTGATATTCCTAGTTGGAATATCAGTAGACTGATAATAGAAATTCTCACATTTAGTATCTTAAGCTTGATCCAAGCATGAAGCTTCATTATTTTTTTTGCTAGGCAGCTAGACCTATGTTGCTCCAACTTTTCTTGTTTCTTTTGGTATATTCATCTCTTACATGTGTATGCAACACATATCAGACATGGGTTTCGGGGATATGACCTTTGAAGGTCTCCAAATATATGGGGGGAAATCGAACATGTGTGGGGCACATGCCCGTATTTGATATTCACACCCAAGTCCAATTAACTTGGTTTTAGAGTGAGTTTTTACCCTATTTTAAGCTCATTTCGTTTTATCGAACAATCTTGAATTTCTTCTGGCAAGTAAATAGCTACAAACATGATATGCTTGAACATTCACTTTTATTGTTTCAACAGGTCATGTAGTGGAAAGTATGTTCTTCCGTGGATATATAGTTTATTACCGACTCACGGTCATTTTATAATGCCTCGAGAACCTGTAACTCAGATGCTTAATTCCTTGTTGAAGGTAACTGTTGTGGAAGGAAAATTCCCTACCCTTTGTCTGTAGCAAGCTTTCTTTTGGTAATGACTGAGTTCCAGGAAAGGTATTGTTCGTTTTGGAGACCCACCAGCCTCTCGAGTATTTTTCACCCGCAAGTGTCCCTTGGTTCTAACCAAGGAAGGCCACCTGCAAGTTACAAATCCATGAGGGGCCAATGGGTTCTCAAAGAGGACCAATACCTTTGAACGAGGAACAGACATTCAGGAACCCAGTCATTAAACATTTATCTTCCTGCATGAAATTATCCTGTCATTGTTATCTTAAGAAAATGAGTTTAATGTAGTAGTTGTAGTCATGATTCACAATGCCCCTTTTCTTTTTCCAGAATACTAAATCGAGAGGGTCGACACTTCAGTCTTTGCTACAATTATCTGGACGATTGCAGCTTGTAACAACACAGGTTGGTAACTTAATGTTGCTACTTGGATTAAATTGTTTGTTGTGTTTTGATTGTATTTCTCATCTTTTCGAAACAGATTGACAAGGCAGCTCAGATCAAAATTCAACAATCCACTAGTGATCATCCAATGGATGAAAGTGAAGATGATGAAGACGACGATGATGATGTAGATGACATTCTTTATGGGGAAGAAGATGAATCCCAAATAAGTAGTGACGATGATAATTAAACTGCCTCGAGTGCAAGAGGTAATAGTAAAACCATGGGGCCAAGTTTGATTGTTAAAAGAAATTTCCATCTCTGTACTAATTGCATCATTTTGCCAATTGTTTAATGACTTAAATGTATACTTTCTAGGGGTTTATTTTTAATTTATTCGTTTTTTTTTTGTGTACGCATTTGCAGATTGTGTTAGTTAAACAGAAGGGGCTTTGGCCTTTTCAGCATTTGAACCTTTGTATCAATCTGTTCGGTACCTAATGTTCAAAAAATAGGTATCTGTAACAGAAGGGCCTTTGTCATTCTAATGCTTAAAATAGATATCAAATGTTTCCATCATTATACTTTTTAGTATAACGGACGTCAAAAAGATAATCAAATGATACATGTCACATTTATATTTTTTTAGAATTTTATTCTTTAAAAAGAATTTAAGAATATTATTAATTTTAAGAAAAAAATCAAATTATTCTGAAATTACAAAAATAAAATCCCAAAATTAAAATCTCTCATTGGAATCTCAGTTATCAGTTGTCAGTCATCTTTGATCAAAACAAAAAAGACCCCTCGGCAACATCAAGGGGACAGCCCTACGCGCATAGCTACTTCGCCTGCTTCTTATTATGCCGAAACTGCAAGGGGGACGGAAGTTTAAATAATGTAGGGTAAACTACGCTTTTAGTAATTAAATTATTAATTTTAATATATTTTAGTATTTTTTTTAAATCATATCTAATGTCTAAAGTTGTTGGTTGTTGCATCTGTCGGTCAATAAGGCACAAACTTTTTAATTCTCACATTTTCGATCACCTAAACATAATTTTGGATTCTGTTTCAACGGAAAACACTTTAATTTCCCTAAATCGAAGATGTACTCTTCAATTTCATCTTTTGATCTCCGTGGTCTATCGTTCAATGGGTTTGAAACTAAACTATGTTGGTCAACTCGTCATTCTCTCGTGGTCCATTGTTCAGATTGGTCATCCGTCTACCAGAGCTATACCACGTGAGCCCATTCGTTAAGTTTTTAACTTTAAGGGTACTAAAATAAAACAAAAACTAAATATTAAGTATGATTTTTAAAATAAATAAAAGTTTAGGTACTAAAATGGAACAAATTAATAGTTTAGATACTAAACACGTAATTTGTTCAATAATATATATATATATATATATATATTTAAAAATCAATATTTTTACCTTTTTAAAAAAAATATATATAAATTTAAAAAATATAAATGTGATATGTCATTTAATAATTTTTTAACGAGAAGTGTAATAGAGAAAAAAATATTTGACACTTATTTTTAACGAAAAATATTTATCTAAATTAATTTAGAATATAATTTAGAGATTTATTTTTAGAGAAAATAATTTCAGTGACCGAAAATACCTTATAATATATGATTTTAACCAAAAAAAATTTATTTACGAAAATGACAAACAAATTCGCAACGCGAACTCCAATTTCGCAACACAAGTTCCAAAATCGCAACGCGAAAGTCGAATTCGCATCGCCAAAGTCAAATTCGCAACGCGAATAGTTAAATTACAACGATAATATGTAATTCGCAATGCGAATAGGTAAATCGAAACGATAATATGTAAATCACAACGCAAATTCGCAACTCGAATTTCACAACGTTAATTACCGATATAGGCAATTAGCGTTGCGAAAACGAAATTCACATTGCGATTTTCTAAATTCGCAACGCGAATAGGTAAATCGCAACACGAATTCTCCAAATTCGCAACTCGAATTTCGCAATGATAATATGTAAATCGCAACGCGAATTCTCTAAATTCGCAACTTGAATTTCGCAACGCTAATGACTGATATAGGTAATTAGCGTTGCGAAAATGAAATTCACGTTGTGATTTTGGAGAATAGCGTTACGATTTTCCAAATTCGCAACGCTAATAGGTAAATCGCAATGATAATATGTAAATCGCAACGCAAATTTGCAACTCGAATTTCGCAACGCTAATTACCGCTATAGGTAATTAGCGTTGCGAAAATGAAATTCGCGTTGTGATTTTGGAGAATCGCGTTGCGAAAACGAAAATCGGATTGCGATAGTACTGTTTTCCTATATCGGTAATTAGCGTTACGAATTTGACTTCTGTGCTGCGATTTATATATTCGCGTTGCGATTTACATATTCGAGTTGCGATTTACATATTCGCGTTGCAAATTTGGAAAAACGCGTTGCGATTTTAGAACTTGTGTTACGAAATTGGAGTTTGCGTTGCGAATTTGTTAGTCATTTTCGCAAATCCAAAAAAAGTTGGTTAAAATCGTATATTATAAGGCATCTTCGGTTACTAAAGTTATTTTCTCTTATTTTTATTATAAATCTAAAATTTAGAATATAAACCCTACTTTATGGATTTAACTATATTATAACTTTTATAATCAGATGACAAAAAGAAAGAAAAATGTTAATAATCAGGTTATTTCTATATTTTACCTATATAAAATTGTGTCGACAGAAATCAAGAAAGGAATATTATTTTTCAAAACGACAGAGTTTTCTTCGATCTCAATTCCTTAGCCCACACGTTCAAACCATTGATCTTTGGATCAAAACCGGAAGACGACGGCAATTCATCGGCGAGCGACGGGGAAAAATTAAAAGAAAAAGATGAAGGTCGATGTTAACGCGATGGCTCGTACAGTCGAAGTCGATAATCGAATTCCTCTCCATTATTATTATCGAATCGCCGATAATCTCCTCAAACAGGTTCGCCATCGAATTGTTTCCCTGATCCTACTTCTTTTCCTTAATAATTACTAATTCACGATCGTTTAATGTTTACTTTTAGCTTAATCTCAGTTTTAATCACTCCTTTTGTTCAATAAAGTTTTAATTGCTAACGAATTTATAGTTTTGATGGTTTGATTAGCTCATTTACCGTAATTATTTATCTTAATGTTTGAAAATGGTGGTAATTTAAGTGCTTAGTAGCTTTAATTTGTAACATTGGCTTGCAGATGCTTCGTTTATTTATGTTAGCTTGAAAATTGAAGTATATTTACGACTTTTTTATGTAATTTTAAATTTTCAGGCTAGCATTTACCGAGACGAAAAGAACATAGTAGATTTGTATATAATACTACTTAGATATTCAAGGTGAGGGAAACTTAGTGTGGATTGAATATAGAAAAGCTACTAAAATAGTTTGTCTAAGCTTATTTGTGATTTCTTTTATCAGTCTGGTATCGGAAACTATACCTTTTCATCGGGATTACCAGGTTTTGCTTCAGAAAGAAAAGGCTAAGTATAGGAAGGTGAGGTTTAATTGTTGTTCTGGTTGCGCTATGATGTGAATCCGCTCTAATGGTAATTAATGATGTTTTGGTTGTAATGTTCCTTATTTGTAGAGGCTTTTAGCTGTACTTGATGAGCTTGAATCTCTAAAACCAGAGGTTCGTAGGAGAGTTGAAGAACTAAATAGACCTCGTGCAGGGACAAAATTGCTTGAATCTGATGGCTATGAAATCACTTCCTATGGCTCTGAGAAGACATCACCTTTGGACTGGCCCCATGTAAATAAAGGGTCTAATATGAGCTTAGATATTAAGCAGGTACTAATCCGTTTATAAGCGGAGGATGCAATTTGATTTTCATTAAACAGTTATCTCCATATCTGTTCCTTGTTTCTGTACGCCTGGTTGTCCAGTTTTGTTTTCTTGTTTTTGCTTGCTTTTTTTAATAGAATGCCTAACATCATATCTCGTTTTCCCTTTTTATTTGGATGCAGCCTGCCAACATGGCTCTTCAATCTTCATGGAAGTATAATAACGATCGTAATCAAATTGACAAGCAGTTCCAAAAGTTGTGAGTTATTTTTCCTCTCATTAATGATGATTTGAACTTGAATCCTCTAAGCCATACCTTTGCAATCTGAAAATCAGCAGTTGTATAGTTGGGTCCATTAAAATTCAACTCTGTGCTTTTAGCTGATACCTATTAGAAAAGGAATTAATTGATTTCAGAAGTACCAACAGGCATAAAATTCCATTTGTTACTTCTGCTTTACAGCATCTTGATTTTGTTGGTCTTTACTCATTGTCATATTTGTTTGTGTTTTTAATAACCCCTCACAAAAAATTAATTATTTGAAAGCATTTTCTCTAAGGCTAACATGTTCTAACCATTTCTGGACTGGATATGTTCAGGTCTATTAATGTGCCTCTTCCAAATAAAGAAACATTGTCTAGACACTCATTTCTTGGTCCTAATGGTCTTCGAGGCCAGTGGCTTGGACCTGGTGCTGAGATAAAGGTAAACCTCTGTTTGCTATATATCCCACCCTTCCTATCTTCTTTCCCTATTTTTTGTTTAATCTCTTTTTCATGCTTAACTGCAAACCTGCATCAAATCATCTATTATGCTATATAATGCAGGTTCAATATCCAAGCAGTATGGACTTGGTTCCTGCAGAAAACTCAGGGTAGGCTTCCAGAAAGTCCAATCATTCTTCTTTAATCTGATAATCTTTTCTATCTTATCCATTATCATGTAATCCTTTCCCTTAAATATTCTGGACAAAAATAAGATAGAATATATGCTGAGACTTCTGTTTTTTGTCGCTACAACGTGGCTGCTTTAACATTTTCTATTTGCTGTTACAATTTATTATAGGTCGAATCAGACTGGACAATGTGGTAATCTGGCTGTAAAAGATGGTGATGTAGGACAGGTTGGTTCTGCAATGGAGTCAGTGCTCTCCTTAGATGATGGTCGATGGTTAAATCCTGCTGAAGGTTCGTGTCACCCTTTAATTACTGAGGCAAAGGAGGACCCCTTCCAGTTTATCGGTATCAAACAACCTCCTCCTCCTCCTGTTCTTGCTCAAGTCCATCAAGACTTTGCTCCAAAACCACCATCAAAAGTTGCTGATCCAAGACCTGGTCCAGCAAAGCCGTCTCAAGATGGAATGCCAAACAGTAGTTCATACCAGCATCTACATGTTGTATGTCCACTGTGTCAAATTCTTGTTCTTCCCTATTACTTGTTGGAATTTTATGATTATAAGATTTTGGTCTTCTACATTGATTTTATTTGAATTGTTGACATATTCTGCAGCCAGTGCGCATGATGGAGGATTTCTTACGTCTAGCTCAGGAAAATACTGCAAAAAATTTAGAAACATGTGGTGTTCTGGCTGGATCATTGGTGAGAAACTATAATTTAAATCTTCATAAGCATTTAGTTTGAGAGAGTTAGGAAATTGGGGCTTCAAAGTTTCTGCAGGAGGTTGTTTATACTTTTGATTTTGACTGTAGAAAAACAGGGTTTTCCATATCACCACACTTATAATCCCAAAGCAGGAATCCACTTCAGATTCGGTATGATGTTTAACTCTTTCTAATATATTTTATTTCGATCCTGTGAACTAATATTAACTCTACTGAGAGTTGAAATATGATTATGTCCATATTCTTTATTACTGTTGCAATGATTTTTTTTAAAAAACTTTTCAGTGTTCAACATTAAACGAAGAAGAAATTTTTGAAGTTCAAGATAAATTATCTCTGTTTCCCCTGGGTTGGATTCATGTAAGTTCACAAGCCTTGAGTTTTCAATGCATATTTGTGATTACATATTATTTTCCTCTATGTGCTCTTTTTCGATGAACACATCTGACCATGGGGTAGGCAAAAGCTCACTTATCCTGCATTCTATTTCAAAATACTATTTCTTATTATCATTGCTGCATCACTCCACTATTGCAGTCATGCGAACACAAACATGTTATTTTAAGGTCAAATTATGCAATTTGTCCTTGTACCATGCAATAGTTGTGGATTTGGTCTCTTTACTCCATTTTGCTCAAGTTTAGTCCTTGTAGTACTTCTCAAATCTTGAAATTTAAGCCCTGAGACTAGCAGAAACTGTAAGCTTTGTTAACTAATATGATGTGGTTTTTTTTTTTGTATTACGTGAAAAGAAGCTGATGACACGGCATGACAACAAAAAGGACCACATCATTTATGTTATCCAAGTCGGTATTAAAAAAAGGCGATAAAAATGCGAAAAGAAAACCCAAGAACTGAACATTATCTTTCACAAGAGAGGTGTAGAGGATTCTTTTTTATTGGTTCAATTTGTTTACCAGTAAGTGTATAAATAAACCAAAAAAACTTTTAACTGTATCGACCCCTCACTCTCACCTCTTTTGAATTTGGATTTTGCCTGATCCGCACCTTTTTTAGGATCTTAGAAAGAATTTTTCTTTTTTCAATTTCTTAAAATTTTCCACCATTTTACTTAACCCTTTTTGGAAACTCTCAAGTCCTCTAGGAAAGTTCATTCATTTTTTGGGATTTTTTCTGGGTTGTGTGTGCTTTAAAATTTGGCTCGAGGTGTTATTTTTTTACACTTTATTTTAATTTATTGGATGATTAGTATTTAAAATCATGTCTTTACCCACAATTTTAATTTTGTAGAAGTAGAAGTTTAGACCTTGTCTAAGGTTTCTTGGAATCAGCTGTAATTATTTATTTTGGAGAAAATATTGAAAGAAAAAAAAATCTGGGTGTGTTCAGTTTGGGTTTTCTTCATAGATTACAAAATTTTCCGATTAATTATTTTTTTCTTCATATATTAATTACTCAACTAATAGGAAGGTTTTCTTCCCCCTCTTCACAAACTGCCTTCTTCCTCTCTTCACAAAATCTTGTTGAGTCGTTGGACTTCTATAATTATTTGCAGCTGTTGCATATTGCAAAGATGAATAGCATAATTTGACCTTATTTTGAAGTTAACACATAATTTTGTGGTTTGAAGCTTATCTTGGTTGCTTGAGCTTGACTTAATTGTAATGGATAAAACACTTCTAGATATATGAAAGGCAGATTCTACTCTAGCATGTAATTGGTTTATTACCTGTAATGGATTTTTTTCTTGGGCCTTGCACCAATGCAGTTCAGTGTTCTCTACATATGGTTTGGTGAAATTCATGCTTCTTTTGGGTCTGTTGTTTTCGCTTTCAATTTTTCTTTTCAATCTCCTTTTGATATTTATTTTTTCTTCCTTTGATTAGCATTATACGGTGTTGTAATATTCAGTGCATTTCTTAATCTCCTTCATGAAGCTGGATTTATGTTAGTTCTAGCTTGTGTGTTAGGTAGTAAGAACCTAGTGCGTATCTGAATGACTGGGTGCAGTTTTGTAGACAAATTTTACGCATCTAAAACTTTTAAATGCTTTTTCTTTCAGACACACCCAACTCAGACGTGTTTCATGTCATCTGTTGATCTTCACACTCATTACTCGTATCAGGTACAAGAACTCATACTTGATTTGTGCATGCGTGTTTGTGTATACACTCCATTTTTCTTGTGTGAATTCAATCTTACTACATCTAGTTCCTTGTACCCTTCTCAAATGTATGAATTACATATTATTTGTTTTTTTGACAATTTTTTCTCTCGAACTTTTGTAGATTATGTTACCGGAAGCAATTGCAATTGTTATGGCCCCTACCGATACATCCAGGTATATTCTCATTTCCCCTAATGATCATGTCATTGAATTCAATGAAATATATAATAGTAGTAAACGTGAAAATACAAATGTTTTCTGTTATGGTCATGTTTTGAGATACTAATATATCTTTCTACATGAAGTCCCGTGCCATAGAACGGAGTAGCTTGATACTTGTATTTGATATTTCAGGAGTCCACTTCAGTATTTAGACAGTTTTTCGTAAACGTTTTTTCGATTTGACTTTTTCGCCCCAATTTCGAATTTAAAAGTTTTAAATTACTCAGTTCTGTGGTACAGAGATTAAATTGTACTTTTACTCGAGTACGAGTCGTCTTTTCTTGCTCTGTACATAGAAGCATATTCTGCTCTAAAACTTCATTTTGTCTAGACGATGAAAATGGGTAGAGGGGATTATTCATGTTTCTTAATCAAACAATTTTTCTGTAAGCTAAATGATGTTGAAAATTATCAGAAGTAGGTTAAATCTGATGATCAACATGTATAGTCCCCTGTTAGTTTCGAAAAGATATTACATGAATTGTTGGACATTTGCATACTCTTTACCTGCTAATGAAGCGTTTGCATCAAATTGCAGCCCACACGGTATCTTTCACCTGTCCGATCCAGGCGGCGTGTCCATTATTCGTAATTGTCAGCAACGAGGATTCCATCCGCACGAGGAGCCTTCAGACGGAACACCGATCTACGGGCATTGCTCTCATGTATTTATGAACCCAAAGATAAAGTCTGATGTTGTTGATCTCCGGTGAGATACAATCGTATGGATCAACTGAAGAGAATCACAGTCAAAATACAGCGTGTAACCATTTTTCTTCCATTCTATTGATAAGAGTTATAAACCTTTCCTGCTGTATAATGTATATTATTGGTGGCCGTTTCCTTGAAGAAGTGGTCATTATTATGGGAGTTCGTCGTCTACGAATCGAGATTAAATTCGAACAAAATTCGGACATTTCACTGCATCTCTGTATAAGATTATGTAGGTTAATCTTTGAGTAAATTAAAATTTTCTTATTAGTTCTTAGATTAAGTATAAAGATTAGGGTGTTCACGATCAATAAATCGTACCGTTTAATCTAAACAGTTTGATTAATTACTATTGCAATTATTGAATTTTACTAATCTTAACTGTTAAAAAATGATTAATTCTTATTAACGATTCAGTTACAAGTTAACCTGTAATGAGTTACAAATTTCTTTTTTCACATGTTCACTTTTTATTTTGAGCATAATGAGACTACCTAAATAAGAGATTTTGATCACAAATTCTATGCTTAGTTCAGAAAAAGTACATACTAATATTACATAGTAATTAGGACATTTATACACTGTTATATTAGTTTAAAGAACATAACAATACCACATACTTTTATTTCCCTTAAAATATATCTATAATATAATACTGGTTAATTATTTATTAAAATCCGTAACGATTAACCATCACTTTTAGCAATTTCATTAATTGAGACTGTTTAGCCTTAACAATTTAATTAATCAATCAATAAAATATAATGGTTATATTGGTTAATGATTATAGTTAATCTACGCATCCTTAACGAGGATGGTCGCCCAAAAATGAATACTAATTGGTAGTTCAATGCTAGCAAATTGTAGATATAAAAATATTTCCCCTACTTTTGGTTGTTTATATATCTGCAATTTGGCATAGAATTGAGAAAAATGTATATATTTGGCCCTCATTGTCCCCAAATACAAATGCACCATCATGTCCTTAGACCTCGGCAATATCGGACATCTCAAGTGACTAAGGGGCAATTAAAACTGCAGAATTTCACCAATCATTTCATCAACCAAAGCATTCATAATTTGTTCTTCAATGTCTACTCCAACTACAAAGGCATCAACTTCGAAGTCTAGCCATTTTCCGTATCCGCTGCTCATGTCGTCGTTGACGAGCTCATCGACCATACAATCTCCCATGGCTCTCCACCTTGAGATCTCCTTGTGTACTTCTTCGGCTAACCACTTGTTTCTTCTCATAATCGCCATCCCTTTGGCCCATGTTCGGTGTCCCCCACTCGCATACTGTCTGCATTTTGAGTTGAGACATTCACTGACCGAATCGAATAGTACCTTACGTTCTAGCTTACCCTCCTCGCCATCGCTTCTTCGTCTTTCCAACTGATTGAACAGACAAGGGTTTATAATTTGATGAGCTCGGCCTATGGCAAAGTCCTTGAACATCAATTCTACATTACAGACTATCAACTTCACATATTCTAGTTCCCAGTTCACTGATATTATAGGATCTGACATAGCAACAATATTACGATTACTTTTGGCCACTGCTCCGGATGATATCGAAGAAGCCGAGTCCGATAACTCTGTATCAGCTTCTAGTGTGCGTAACTTCTTTAAAGGACTCAGTCGAAGAACTTCCGCAGTTTGAATTGTCGAACACCGCTTGCTTCCTGAAAATTGCATTATAGATGCATGTCAGTATAACTTTAAAGAACTTGAAGAGCGGATTTAACAAAAGAAACGTATACGAAGAGTTGGTAGTGTTACCATCAATACTGAAACTATCCGTGCTATCCGAGGAGTTGCAGCTTTCAGTTGAAAATGAAGGTTCAAGGATAGAAACCGGACTAGGTTGCCGTGCATCAAGAGTGCTACTACTGCATTCATCCATCCATCTCATCGAGTCCCTGAATGTTCCATATGAGCATTAGTTATCGTTTTCGGTAATAGTTTTGCTCCATATGAGCAGTGTTACAAGCCAAAGAACAAAAACTCGAGTAGCGATTGAAAACCATGTCCTTTACCTGAAACTTGTGTATCGATCTCAGCGGTTGAAGATCGCAGGAGGAAAGGTTTCGTTCTTGCGAAAATGATATAGAAGTTGAATCTGGTTCAGATCTGAGAGATTTCTTAGAGGAAGATTCAATTGCATTGTTTAGTTCCAGAAGCTTTCGTTCCAAAAGAATACTTAAAGCATCTCCTCCTATCACATTTTGTCCCAATGAAGACAAGTTCATACTCTCGGTGTCGGGTAACAATCGCTTACCCCGGTTATCCATGCGAATGCCATTGTTTTTCTCTGCAATCTGTGTAGATGTTTTCAATGATCGAGTAAGCGGGGCAGTGAATGTGAAGGAAACGACATCCATGCCTTTCTTGCTATCTTCAACCCAGCTGAGGCTTCTTTCGGTAACAGCATGGTCTTCCTTTCTGTTTTTTTCTATCAACATGCTATCAACACCCTGATTTTCCGAAACTCAAAATCTCTATCAATGTATCTTTTCTTCCTTGGGTTCTTCGAACTAGAATATGGACCTCGTTCGCTATCCATTGCACCTACACTGAACTTCCTTGGCCCGGTTTTGGAATTTCCAACGGTTTTAGCTGATACCTTGCGTCGCCCCGAAGCAGAATCCACAGGGAGCACTCTTCTACCATTCAAGTTGGAACCTATAGGCTTCGACGGTAATTTGTCTTTATCAATTATACAATTTTGCTTCTGGTTGTTCAGCTTGAGTGCACCGGAAGCATTGCACATCGAAGAATTCTTATGCAAACTCTTTCGAGAACTTGATTGATACTTTAAGGATTCATTCAACTTAACCTCACTCTCGTCTTTTGATCCTAACATATGTCGGCGGCTTCTTGAAACCAATCCTTCTCTTTTCTGCACATTGAATTTTGCTTGTATTGCAAGCGAAATAGATTTCCTCTCACTATTTAGAACAGGAGAAATTTCTTCCGTATTGGAAGTACGGAATGATGGCACGCCTGTTAATCCATTCCAGCTCTCGTTCAGCGGTTGTCCTTTAAGATACTTGACGGCATTCGACTCAACCGGCTTCCGAGTCATTTCAGTGAGCCGGGATGTTTTATGTGCAGCTTCAGACTTCTCTTTTAAGTCTCTCACTTTCACAGGCACAGAAGAAGATTGAACTGGAGGCTTTCTTTGCGCAGCCTCCATTTTTCTTTGAAATCACGAACTTTTACGGGCACTGAGGACGATCCAACCGGTGGCATTTTGGCTCTAGCGATGACATGGGGACTAGGCTCGAGAATTCTAGCAGCTGCTTCCATTATATGAGCAGCATCCTCAGTAGGAAAAAACCCCGGACTCTTTATCGGGGACAAAAGCTTATGGTGTGTAATTGGAATTGTTTTAGCAGCCTTAGGAGGCAAACTTTCGGTTCGGAATTTCTCTATAGGATTGCTGACCATTTTCCGAGGCTTCGAATCTGCAAAGTTTCTCACAGGGCCACCCTTGATCTTGTTGAATGGATCATATGGATAAACTATTTGCTCATCATGATGATAATTAAGGTTTCTGTTTTGGAAATGAGCATCTCGAAGAGATTGAGTTTCGAAAAACAGGGTGGAGTACCGTTCAGACGATGTAGGTAATGAATCTAATCCCATTAGTTGAGCCACTACATTCGGGGCCTTTGGTCCATACATATCGTCATCCCTAACCGAAGAAGCACAACTATAATCACTACTTCCTTTGAAACTCATCCTGGCTCCCGTTTCATCCTCATCCTTCTGCAATAATCACAACAACAATTGTAAAAGCAGTTTTATATAACCATCACCCCGAAATCATCTCAGATTGCTATGTTCTCACCAGATGAATATGTGTCATCGGTACGTTCCCATCACTTCTCTTTTCCTGTTTCGAACACTCTTAAAATTTTGAAGACACAAACCGATCAGAAACGACATATGATGTAAACTATTATGGTACATGAACATAATTTCCCTTGAATATGCATGTGACAATGCACTGGGAAGGCAGTTATACCTGGAAAATCCGACTTGCTCGAGAATAACTTCTTCCGCGATTTTGCAGTCCAGTCGAGTAGCTGAAAGAATCCACCTACATAACCTCCTCCATTCGTTGAACCTTCCGCGTTGACACCCATCATACTAAAGCGAAACCCCGAGAACTCTGCTTATAGGAGAAATACAAACCGAAGTCCACCAATCAAATTCTCCTGTAGTTGTTAAACACAATGAACCGTTCAGTTACCAAGTATTGAATTTATAACACAATCAGACACTACAATATAAGCTCCTACAAGATTCTAAACCACTGTAAGATGTTAAAAATACTTGAATTTGTGAGATAATTCCTTTTTCTATAAACTCCATTGTTCGAAAGTTGAGAACATATTCGATTAAACAAATAAAAGATCCGATGTGCATCAGTAATTCGACTTCAAGATGTCCAAAATATGCATCAAGTTTAACACCGAGAAATGATGTATACCAGACTTCATTTCACATCACACTTGAAGACACGTTGCAGAAATTCAAACAACCAAAATGTCGAAGCAAACTCGAAAACCGAAGAACATTAAATGAAAACACAAACCATCTCTAAATCCTTGATTCCACACATTCCGGTACAATATCAAAACTATGCTGATTAAAACCTACATTCTAGCATTAATCATTTAAGTTTCTACAGTAATGGGGGATTAAAACATGTAAGATTAATTGCATTCACTCATTTCACTATAATAATTACCTCAGATCCCAAAGTCAGTAAATCAAACGATATATTTCCTGTATAATGAACCAAGCAATTAAATTTCATTGAAGCTGCATGAAGAACACTACAATCAAAATTCTTAAAGTCATACCCCCTTTCCCGAATTTTCTCAGCTACCAAACACACCCAATGTAAACAATTCAAAAAATGATAAGAAAAAAGCATCATAAAATCAATAAAACACCCCATAAACAAAAACCCAAATCTTTAACCGAACCAAAAACACTTACATTGAGCCAATGAATAAGATCAACTTAACTGAAGCTGAAATTTTCTGGGTTCAACTTGTATATACTTTGAAGCTGAAAGTTGAGATTTATTGAGAAAAACAAAAGTGGAAAGGCTCCTCCTTTGAATTTGAGAAAGGGAGAGAGAGAGAGAGAGTATTTGTAGTTCAAATCGATAGAATGCAGACAGAGAGCGAGTAAAGGTGGGATTTCGATTTTTTAAATAAAAAATATTATTAAAAGGAGGTAAATTTAAAAAGTTTATAACGTCTCTTTGGATTTCAAATTCCAAACGGAGACTTACGAGTGGTTCTTGCGTTTTTGTTAAAGTTACACCTCTCTTTCGATTTGTTTGTGAACCACTTGATGGTTGGTGTACACACGTGTTGAAGAAAAACGTCTTTCCAAAGTTGAAGTGTAACATGATAAATTAAGTGTCATTTATCCAAAGTCAAATTACAACTAGCAATATATATATATATATATAACACTAAATTAGAACTACCAATTTTAAAAACACAATACAATTATATGCTATGAATATAAATTAAAAATAATAATTAAGATGCGTCCGGAATGTATGGATTTAAAATTTATATAACATACAAACTATTAATTAATAAAAAATAATTTAAATATAAAATATTTAAAAATAGAATGAGAATATTCAAAGTGTATGTACTTCAAAATCTTGATTCTAAATATTAAAGATAGAATAATACGAACGGAGGTTCTCTTCAATACGAAGATTTCATAGTCTTTTTAGAATATAATAAAAGTGGAAAATATAATTTTTTTTAAAATACAATAATAAAATTAGTTTTTAATATTTGTTTAAATTGTTATTTTGATTACAATTGAAAAGTAAACAACGAGTCTCAAAATTGACACAGCATCCACGATTGTTGAGGGTAATATGGATTCACAGCCATGTCTCAATATATAGGGTAAGAAATGAATCATCAAGATGATGAAGCAGAAGGAGATACAGTGAAAGGCTTCTGTTCTTCACATGTGAGCACTTCATGGGGGCCTGCCTCTTCTCTGCCAACGCCCATTAGATCCAGGTAATACAGATAATGTGAGATGATGTTGTTCATGGAATCAACATCACCTTGACCGCAAACCTGATCTCCGTAGAGCACATTCATGGTGGTTCCCAACCCCGGAATGCGCTTGGCCAACGTGTCGTTCTTGGTCGGTTTCCAGTTGCCAATGAAAACGTCTTGGGCCGACGGCTGGTTTTTCTTCACCGGTGTCATCCATCTCCAGATTGCTGTTTGGAAAGCCAAGGTTGCATTGTTTTCCAAGTATTCTGGGTGGTTCAACAAATCCACATTCAATGTCTTTCCTGTTTCTCCATAGTTGAAGTTCCTGTAGCCACACAGAATCAGCAAACAGATACTACATGTAACATATATTCCCATACCCACTAATAACACTTACGTTCAAGACGAAAATATATTATCAAAATATTTAAATTATATAAGAATTTAAAATTTAAAATTAAACGATCACCCCACTTGCCCCTATCGATTCCTGGTTGAAGAATTTTTACCAGTAGATGGGTAAGGCACCACGGCCATGGTATGAAACTCCTGGAGTGCAAGGATAGGTGTATTTGTAGTAGTCATCACAATAGACTTTGCTGGGACTCATTTCCTTGTTGTAGCATAGACCCCAGGCCAATGGTCCCCCAGTCGCCACTCCGTAACCACCTAAAAATCATTTAAAACAAGTTTCAATTTGACTATAACGAAATTCGAGTCATAAATCATTTATGAAACATCTATTTATTAGACGATCAGATATTAAACATTAAAACTTGAACAAAAAATAAGAAAATGTAGAAACAAGTGAGAAAATTTTGATATAGTGATAAAATTAGCCCTCAACGTTCATACAAATGACCATTTTGACCATTTTTTTAGAATATTTTAGTCTTTAACGTTTAAATATTTTGTCAAAATAACATTTATTATATGAAAATCGTTAATTGACTAAAGATCCACAAGTATTACTAACGTGATATTTTTATATGTATTTAGTTAGTGACGTGACTTGTACCACACATCCAAAGTAATGATGTGACATGCATAACACCACCTATAATGATAATGTGATATATTGATTGTTAGTCAACTATCGATTTTCATTGATAATGAGTATTTTGATTAAAAATTAAAATGTTAGGACAAAAATGCTCCCAAAAAAATGTCAAATTGATCATTTGGACAAATATTGTGGCTAATTTTATGATTATGCCGAATTTTTTTTTAGTTTAGTTTTGACGTGTTACTTACATGAAGTTTTGCTTCCAACATGCCCAAGAAAAGCCGCCACTTCCTTCATACTCATGAGCTTCTTGTTACGGAAAACGGCTATCGGATAGAGCAAAATTGCAACTGATAATTTGAGAAAATAAAAATGAAGATAAAAAGAGACAAAATTTACGTGGAAAACCCCTAAATAATATAGGGTAAAAACCACGGGCAACTGTAGAAGAATTTCACTATGAGAAAATAGGAATTACAACCTCTCTCGATCTACCAAGGAGAAAACAATGATAATTCTCTCTTGATAAAAAAGAGAAAACAACTCTCATTAAACTCTCTAAATTCTCTCTAGTATTAGAAGAAAGCTAGAATGCTTTGGGATGGTTTTGAAGCTAAATGAGCTAGGGTATTTATAGTTGAAGCTTTAAGGACTAATTTGTAAATACCCTAAATTACAATGACTAATTGCATAGTTTTACCATCCAAAATTTTCAACAATTTGGTGGCCAAATTTGACCAATTTTGCCACCCCATTAATGCCACCAAATTACCACCCATAATGTTGACAATTGATGTAATTTGGTGGGCCAATTTTCAACAATCTCCCACTTGAAGATTTGATTGGAACAATCATATCTTCACACAATTCTTTCTACCTTGTACCTTTCATGTTGCTTACGTTTCTGACAGGCCACAGGAGGATCAACACCAGGTAAATTTATCAGCATTGATTGCCTTCGTCATGAAATCTGTTATGTTGTCTTTGGTATGGATCTTATGCATATCTACCGTTCCTTCTTCCACCTTTTCACGAATGAAATGGTACTGAACTCGTATGTGCTTAGTCCTTGAATGAAATGCTGGATTCCTTGCTAGATACAAGGCGCTTTGACTGTCACAAAACATAGAGACATACTCTTGATTGTGCCCAAGCTCCTCCAATAGCATCTTCAACCAAATTGCTTCTTTACTGGCTTGTGTAGCTGCTACATATTCTGCCTCTGTTGTGGACGTAGCCACAACTGACTGCAATTTTGAAACCCAGCTTACAGCTCCACCAGCAACTTTGAACACATATCATGTAGTAGATTTGCTTTTATCCAAATCCCCTGCATAGTCAGAATCTACATACCCATTGATTAGTAAGTTTGATCCTCCGTAACATAATGCAACATTTGAGGTCCCTTTGATGTATCTTAGGATCCTCTTTACAATATTCCAATGCTCTTTGCCTAGATTCGCCATGTACCGACTAACCACTCCCACTGCTTGTGCAATGTATGGTCTTGTGCATATCATAGCGAACATTAAACTTCCCACTGCTGATGCATACGGTACTCGAGACATCTCCATCCTCTCTTCTTCACTGCTAGGACTCATACTGGAGGATAATTTGAAGTTAATAGGAAGAGGGGTAGAAATTGGCTTACAATCTTGCATGCTAATCGTGACAAGATTTTCTTCAAGTAATTCTTTTGTGAAAGCCAAATCTTCCTATTACTTCTGTCTCGGTGAATTTGCATCCCTAGAATCTTGTTTGCTGATCCAAAGTTCTTCATTTCAAATTCCCTAGCCAGTTGTGCCTTCAATTCTTCAATATGATCTTTGTTGGGTCCTACAATCAATATGTCATCCACATAAAACAGCAATATAACAAAATCGTTATCACCAGACCTCTTGAAATAAGCACAAGGGTCTGCATTAAGTCTGTTGTATCCAAGGCACATAATGAAGGAATCAAATCTATTATACCAACACCTCGGCGCCTGCTTTAGACCGTATAGAGATTTGTTCAACCTGCAAACCAAGTTCTTTTCTTTTTCTTCAAAACCTTCAGGCTGGAGCATATAAATTTCTTCTTCAAGATTTCCATGAAGAAAAGCTGTTTTAACATCTAGCTGCTCTAGATGTAAGTTTAATGTAGCACACATTGCCAAAACTACTCGAACTGTTGTTAGTCGAACCACAAGAGAAAATATTTCATTGAAATCAATACCTTCCTTTTGAGCATATCCTTTGACCACCAGTCTTGCACCATACCTCTCAACTTGATCATCACAATTTCGCTTGATTTTGAAGACCCATTTGTTACCAATTGGCTTCCTTCCTTGTGGTAGTGGCCAAAGGTCCCATATATTATTTTTATTAAGGGCTTCGATTTCTTCTTGCATCGCCATCATCCATAGTGAAGCATCTGAGCTGTTTATTGCCTCCTGGTATGTTGATGGCTCACCGTTGTAACATCCCAAATCAGGGTCAGTGACTAAATTGCAAATTTTGTAAACTAGGTGCTCGATTTCGAAATAAGTTAAAAGTTCATGGATTTAATTAAAGAAATTTGATGTTGGATTTAATGATTAAGTTTGGAAATATTAAGGGTACTATGGTAATTTTTCAGGGAAGATTTTTATTTCCCTTTATAAAGGGTAATAAGCGTAGGAAGAAGAGTCCAGAGCATTCTTCAGTCTTCTTCTTCCTCCTCTCAACCGTGAAGCCTGGTATAAGATTCTACGCATAAAGAAATTCCGGAACGTTTGGCAAGTAAGATCGATCAAGGGAAAGATAAGAGATTGGAATTGACTAGTGAGGCCAGGTGAGTGCATATTTAATAGTATACGATGTGCGATGGGAATAAGACTTGCGATGAGTCTATTTCCTAAAGTGTTACACATGAGTGGAATATGCATGTATGTATGTTTGATTATATGGATTGATCTGTTCTTTTATGTGTTAGATGATAAAGTAGGAGTAATTACATAAGAAAGGTTATGAATTATATGAGATATAAACTATGTGATCATAGTAAAATATAATTATAGTATTATATGATAAGTGAAATAAGCTGGATAATATTGATCTATAGGATGAAGTGAGAATAGTACAGTAACTAGGAGATTTGAACATAAACGATAAGATGAACATATAAGATAAACTAGATGGGAAAGATTCATATGTTTAAATAAAACTATAACACATGGGTTGTATGATAGAAATTTATGAAGCTATGAGAAGATTATAGGAGTTATATGAATTGAATTAAGTAAACAGATTAGATTATATATATATAGAATAATAGAAGTGAGAGTTTATAAGTCTGCCCTAGATGAATATGAATATGAATTATAAGAGTGCTATATGATTTATATTAAGATAAATCTTGAGGATATATAGATAGATATGAAATGAAATGAAATGAGTTATATGAATACATAATTATGTGATGAAATGGTGGATTACTTGAACATGTGAATATATATAGGTCTAAGAGAAGGCATAAGATTAAGATATAAGCAATGTGACTATAAGTATATATGTGCTCTAAGTGATATTACTTATAGGTATTCCTATTATAATGTTACATAATATGTTATGTATGTTAAAGGAATTATGTGATGGTATAAGAATTGATAGGAAATATATACGTGAAAACAAGTATATGTTACGAGACAAAACCTATGATTATAAGCTACGTGAAAGTGTTCCTATTTGTTATATGAAGTATATGATCATATGTGAACAAGATATGATGAGTATGTGTACATGAATAAAGGTGATTGGGTGAGAAATGACATAATTATATGAAAACATGACATATGTGACATGTGAATTATATGGAAATGATCTACGTGTAAGTGAACTACGTGACTATGTGATCATATGAAAAGAAGCTATGTGATAAGTGATATGTGAAAGTGAATTACGAGTTTATGTGAATATTTGAAATGAAATAAATGATAACGCCCATGTTATGTGTCATGAGAGCTAGGGGTATAGTTGGCATGCCAAGAGTCGAGGGTCTACGCGGTTCTTCGGGACATATGTATATTCTTTGGAACATGTGTGAAGTCTGGAAAGACACATACTTGATCCCTAGCATATGTATATGATTCTTAAAGAATTCTATGTGGTCCTTATGGACATTATTATATGGCACTACGGTGCAATTCTACGCGGTTCTTCGGGACATATGTATATTCTTTGGAACATGTGTGAAGTCTGGAAAGACACATACTTGATCCCTAGCATATGTATATGATTCTTAAAGAATTCTATGTGGTCCTTATGGACATCATTATATGGCACTACGGTGCAATTCTACGGGGCACTTCGGTGCATTTATACGAGCTGTGGTGACAACATAGTGCACAACCTCTATAGACTCACATATCGATAGTTCTCACATATGTACATGGGCTAATCCAGAGATATGAACAAATATAAGTTAGTGGTATGATAAATGCTATAGAAATGATATGATGTTGTGTGTATAGTGTTTGATTGAAAAAGTATGTGATTATATGATAACCTGTGAATGATGAATTATGTGTATGTATGTATTTACTGCAATTAATCTGATATGATTTTATACGATATGAAAAATGCCTGGAATTGCTATAACATGATAGAACAGAACATGCATGTATCAATATATGTTTTAAAGTGCATTATAAGTTGTTATGCCTCACTAAGTCTTCGACTTAGCGTGTGATTGTTTCACACGTAGGTTTTGAGAAGAGTAAGGAGGGATGCGAAGCAAGACAGGTCAGTTTTCCTTACCAAAAGATCAGATCAGAAATATTTGACAAAGTATGTATTTGGTTATGTATAAAGTGTGGCATGTAATAATCATTAAGTGCGAGCACTCTGATAAAGTCTTTATTTTGATTAAATAAAGTTTTAAATTTCCCGGGATTTTTTCTTAAGAGTCAAGGTTTGAAATGGTTTAGCCGATTCTCGGCATAAACCAAAGTCCAAAATGTCATAAAAGGTGTACATGCCAACATAGATTGAAAAATTTCTGATCTGATAGTGTAAGGAATACGTTGTCTTGCTAATTAAATAAGAATAGTTTAATACAGTAGAAATCCAATCGTGATAATTTCGAAGTAAGTGAAAGGTGATATTCCTGATTGTGATAGCTATTCACTTGCCCTGGCCATGCAGGATGAAGAGCGGACACCTCAGGAAATGCCGAGTAAGATTAAAAGTTGATTTCAGAAAGCTGAAATCATATCTGAATAATGATAGAAATTTTCATCGTTTGGAATCGGAAAACGATGTAGAGTAGTGTTGCTATTGTGAATAAGAT